GGTTTAGGGTCAGGGTTTAGGGGGTTTGGTTCAGGGGTACTTGAGTGGTCTGCAGACCTTGAGCCTTGCAAACTTGAGCCTTGCAGACTTTGATTTGTTCTTTGCTTCTCTCAAGGTTTAGGACTCATAGAGTGACAACGGCTTCCGCTTCTTCGCTTCCGAACGTGGAGAAGGACCTAAGGAACTGGCAAAGGTGAAAGACTCCGAAGCCCCAACACTGAAACCCAAAGTGAAAGAGCACTACGCGACAAAGCTAAAGAAGCAAATCCACCAGCTACACCAAGAAGTCTCTTTCCTTCGTGCAGAACGTGCCCTTTCTGGCAACACCGTGTCAAAGAACGAGCCCGAGCAGAAGGTGACAAAGCCTGAAGATGAACACTTCTTCCCGACGGAAAGTTTTTCAAGCGCATCTGTCAGGTGTTCTGTCACATAGTCAAACTTCTTCAACGGAATACTTGCGGTCACGCATAAAACCCTAAACCCAAATTCCTGAACCCTAAACTCAAAACCCTGAACCGTAAACCCTGAACCCTGAACCCTAAACCCAAAACTCTAAACCATAAACCCTGAACTCAAAAACCTAAACCCTGAACTCAAAACCCTGAACCCTGAACATTGAAGCCTAAACCCGAAACTCTAAGCCCTAAACCCTGAACTCAAACCCTGAACCCTGAACCCTAAACCCTGAACCCTAAACCTTCAGGGCACATGGAACCTGATGGGCTCCAGTTTTGGCTTTAGGCTCGAAGACCTCAAAGTCCCCACCTTAAGGCCGAAACTGAAAAACCCTGAAAGCCCAAACCCTCAGACGGTTTAGGGCGTAGGGCTCAGGGCTTAGAATAGGGTTTTGGGGTATTTTATATTTCAAATATAGTAAAGAACCCCAAAACCCGATTCTGCCCAAAGCATGTAAGCACAATGCACCAAGATTTCAACCCTGGAGCAGCAGAGAGGTTTCGGATTTTAGGGGTTTAGGTAGGGTTTCGCGTTTGGGGTTGAGGGGTTTCGGGGTTTAGGGTTCAGGGGTTGAGGGGTTTACGGTTTAGTGTTCAGGGGACCCTAAACCCTCAACCCTAAACCCTAAACCAAGGTTTAGGGTTTAGAGCTTCCAAGCTGACTCTGTGCAGACGCTCTCGTGCGAGTCCGTGGAGTCTCTGCATTGCCGCAGCTTGGCTTGATCAAGGGCTCAGGGTTTAGGGTTTTTGCTTTAGGTAGGGCTCCTTCGTTTCTTTTAAGGCTTCTATAAGGCTTCGATTGGGGCTTCAGGGTATAGGGCCTGGTTTCACATGAAAGGGTTCAGGCATTCTGGGTGTCAGATTGAGTTTTGGCGTTGGGGAGCTCGGGGGCTTAGGGTTCCCCTTTTCCGGGTTTGTGGGTTTAGGCTCTAGTAATTTTAGTAGCTGGGTTCTGATAAAGGAACCTAGTTTGGGGCTGAAAAGTCGGGTCCTGGTTTGGTGGCTCTTGCTCCTTGGGATCGCTTTAAGGGTTGATGGATTTGGTGCTTAGGGTTTAGGGTTTAGGGTTTAGGGTTTAGGGTTTAGGGTTTAAGGTTTAAGGAATGCAGAGATTTTGGACCCAGGGTGCAGGGTTCAAGACTGAGGGACTTACGGTGGTAGGCGCTTCCAAGCCACAAGATGGCGCCCAAAACCCTGTCCCATGCAACTCACCAAGCCCCCTGGATTTGAAGAGTTGCAAAGGATGTTCTAAGTTTTCTGAGGAGACAGTGTTTGAGACTGGGTTCATATATAGGTTTTTGTAGGGTTAATCAAGACGTTACTCACCTGCCCCTGAAGGGATCAGGATCGGGACCTGATGCTTGCACTATAGAAGCCGAAAAAATTACCGATAGTATTCTTAGGGTTCCTTATTATAGATATACTATAAAGGAGCCCAAAAACCCTATTCTAACCCTTAAGGCCCCTACAGTAGAGTGTCGGTTCGGGCTTCAGTTCGACCAGCTCTTTATCGCCCAAGGTTCGAAACCCCGGGGCTCAAGTTTTGAAAATGCAGGGGCCTGAAGAATTACCTATACTATTTTGGGGGGCTCCTTATTAGAATGATAGTATCTGAAGAACTACCTGTACTATTTTTTTTTTGAGGGGGGGTCCTTATTAGAATTATAGTATAAGAGACCCAAAACCCTATTCTAATTTCGAAGGCCCCCATATTAGGGCTTATAGGGTCAGGGCTTAGGGCTTAGGACCCTTAACACTTGATCTTCGCCCGCCCTCAATCCTACGCCCGAAGCTCCGAACGGCTCGAACATCAAGGGCAACTAGCAGGATGCAAAGCAGATCTCCAAACGTCTAACCCCTCTGTCATTGCCACTTCTGAACTGTCAAAATGTGTAGCATACATCTTAATGTGGAGATACACATCAAACCTAAAAATGACCCGGTATGCCAGGCTAGACGCCACCACACCTTGTATGATCAACCCTGAAGCCTTAACCGAACGCCTTGAAAACCCTGAAGCCCCAACGTGCAGAACCCCAAACACCTAAAGCCATGAGCCCCGATCCTTAAAACCCTGAAGCCCTAAACCTGTCCGAGGGTCTGCAACAGGGTGTGAAGACGACCCTTGGACTGCTAATACATGATTCCTGTAGGGGTTTCTCAAGGAGGTTCTTTTGAGGGTTCCTTCGCGTCTGTGCTGGAGGACATAGCCATCCAGATCACGTATGACCACAGTTTCAGAGGCATCTTCGTCTCCACGAGTACAGAACAGCGCCAAGCTCCACCAATCTATATCGGAGTGAAAGGAGACAGTACTTCCCAGGTTTTAACCAGTTCACCACAACCCTAAACCCTAAACCCCTAAGCCCCTAAACCCTAAACCACTATGAACGGTACCGGAAGCTCAAGGATAGCGTCAAGGGAGAAGCATACAGCACATGGGCCGCTCACGGCCCTCGACTCTCGCATGCCTCGGGGTATTTTAGGGTTTAGGGTTTATAGGGGTTAGGGTTTAGTGGTTTAGGGGTTTAGGGTTTAGGGTTTAGGGGTTTAGGGTTTAGGGTTTAGGGTTTAGGGTCAGCTGCGAGGTTTCCAGGGCTCCAAGTAATACAGGGACCGGAACAATCAATATCATATGTCTTAAGCACAAGAGTATGTGTTCTAAGTATGCAAGCCCTATGGCTCGTGTACTTGACAACTTTGGCCTCTTAGGGTTTCATGTGTCATCTTTATACTTAGGGTGTTTGTGTGTGTTTCTTGTTGTGGGGCTTTCGGGCTTCAGGCTCTTAGGGTCTATGGGAAGTTAGACGACCTGCAAGCATGCACTGCAGCAAGACCCTGAGCTCCGAGATATTACTCCCCACGCTCCTGTCTACAGTTCTCGTATGGTATAAGATCATATCTCCCCAAACCCCATTCTCAGCATGAGGTCTCCCTAAAGCCCTACACCCTATTCTGGGTATCACATCTCCCTAAAGCCCTATTCTAAGCATTCTCCAGCCCCTAATACTTGGCTCTGCAAGCTCTCATGCGCGGGCGCAGCCTAGATCTGCAGCCCCTAAATCCCAAACCCCAAACCCCAAACCCAAAACCCAAAACCCCAAACCCAAAGCCTTAAACCTTAAACCCTAAGCCCGAAACAGTAGCCCGGACCAGACCGGGTACTTCTGAGCCCCCGGTGGGTTGTGGTTAGAGGGTTTCCTTTCAGGCCTCTATAAGCGTTACTATAGTACAGGGTTTAGGGTTTTGGGTTTTTGATTCTGGCACTGGGCAGCGAGCAGGCAGCGGGCCGCATGCCGCGAGAGGGCGGCTTCGTGTCGTTCCCAAAGCTATCTATAGTCTCCATTGTAGTTTGTTTTTGGGGGTTACCTGATAGGATCCTAAGTATAGAACTGGTTAAACCAGAAAAAGGAACTACAATGGAGACTACAGGTAGAACAGCATACGCTGGGGCTTTGGATGGACGTGTACGTGGATTTTACTGGCCCGTGCGTGGAGTCCGATGGCTACCGCTGTGTCTGCACTTACACGTGCTGGTCACAGGTCCCAACCCACATTCGCTGGCGCACGGCCATGATTTGATGAACCGTATCGCGGCTAAGATCAAGCTGCCAGAAGCCAGGAAGTTGGTGACTCATGACAAGAAGCGGCTCACCATGCAAGACGTTGCAACCATGCAACTTGAACGGTGACCCTTGAAGGCCTCAAAAAGGGTTACTACAGGGTTTAGGGTCAAGGAACGTCATTTCAGACCCCATCACAAGGAATCATTCCTTGAGATATTTCGAGGAAGCTTGAAGTACTTGGGGCCATTGGTAACCTCTCAGCCCCCAAACCCTCAAGCGGTATATCCCAAAACTGCAGATTTCTAGGAACTCCCAACCCTAGGCCCTAAACCCTAAACTCTCAACCCTAAACTCTACACCCTCAAACCTAAACCCTGAACTCTCAACCCTAAACTCTCAACCCTAAACTCTCAACCCTCAACCCTAAACTCTCAACCCTCAACCCTAAACCCTGAACCCCAGACCGCCAAGCCTGGATTCCCCAAAATCCTACAACTTTCCCTAGGGGTTCCAAGTATACAAATAGTACCTACTTTGGGGTCTAAAGGCTGTAAATAGTACCTACATTGGGCTATTTGGAGCCCCAGGGTTTAGGGTTTAGGGTTTAGGGTTTAGGGGCCACAAGGACTGTGCGATCTGCCTTGGCGAGTGCAAGGTGGGTGACGAGGTACCTTGGCTAGGGCTAAGGCTTTGGGGTTTCAGGGTTTATAGGCTTAGGGTTTAGGGGATTAGGGTTTATAGGCTTAGGGTTTAGGGTTTAGGGTTTAAGGCTTAGGGTCTTTGGGGTTTCAGGGTTTATAGGTTTAGGGTCTTGGGGGATTAGGGTTTAGGGGATTAGGGTTTAGGGTTTAATTAGGGTTTACGGCTAAGGGTCTTTGGGAAGTTTCGGGCTGGGGGTTAAGCCTTACCTGGAACCCCGAAACCATGGTAAATTTTTGGTCGTTTCGAAATGGGCGTATTTGCGCGTAAAAAAAACATCCGGGCGTAAATGTGCGTAACCCTGAAATCTGGGTCTTTGAGTGGGG